GCTTCATGTCTCTCCCCTTCCCCTTCCCCAACTACTCTGACTGTATTAAAAGCTAATAAAGGTACTACTCTGTAGCCTTGCATGATGCAGTATTGCCTAAAATCCTAGGTATCAAAGTTCAAAGAATGGAAGTGTTGTGACTCTACTTTGCTTGAATTCCAGGTGATGCTCCAACTCTGACACGTTTGTGTCTTTTGGATGTTGTCCAAGTCACTAGTGTCTTGTATGGCTTGCTGAACTCCTAAATGTTTATCTATTGGGTATGTGAAAATAAGTAAATTTAAACTGTCTTTCCTGCACCCCCCCCCCCACAATTGAGTTACCACCCACTTTGCATAAAAATAGGAGCCACAGTCCTATTGTGTATGAATTTTAAACCGTATAGGGATCTCTAAATACACTGGAGCAAGAGTTCTAGTCTTAACAGGAGGCTTTGCTAAACCAGAGTTGCCAATTCACTTACAAATTGTGAAGTAGATTTCATCCCAAAAGTCCCATTTATAGTTGAATTGATTTTTTTCTTTTTTCTTTTTTTTTTTTTTTTTTGGTAACATGCAATACTGAACATTAGAACTGCCTTGTAATCTTTATACAATGTGTAGTTTAACTTGTATAAAATTAAATCAGTGACTCAAACTCTTGTGCTTATGCCAATGGAACTGAACTCTTTTTTGCAAGCGCAGCAGATCTACCACTGTGATGGACTTCAGCGGAACCATTATCCCATGTATAACTCTTGCAGGTCTCGTGATAAAAGAAATTAAATGTAGCAGCAAATACTGTAGCTTTTTTGTAACTTCATAATGAGAACTCTACATCTGGGTTTATTGTGCATCTGTAATTCTGGCCACACTGGCCTTTGGAAATGCAAACTTTACTTTCAGTCAGGCTGAAACCTGCCGTAGATTTGCAAGTGTGCCATTTGCCCTAAGCAGCGTAGCCCAAAATACCTTGAGAGCCTTTTTACGCTCAAGACGCAACTACTACAGCAAGGAGACTTGTTTTGTTTTGTGTTTGTTTCTTCTAGTGTGTTTTGTTGCCATAGGCTTTTTTGTGACCACTTCCCCCTGGTGCAGATGGCTAGTCTGTTGAAAGCAGAGAAGCCATTTTCAAACAGCATGTAAAAATTTCTTTAATTTTATTGAAAGTCCCGTGCTAGACTTGCTGTCAAATACAGCCCCCTTTTCAGCAAATTGCTCCATACTATATACTTGTCACAACACTTGGTTAAATTTTGGTTACCAAAAGAATGTTGAAAAGATTGAGCTGCTTAAACTGATGTTTGCCATAAGCACTTCTGATCAGATCTAGGAATTCTTAATTATGGTGTGCTAGTATTTCCAACGTCATGCTTGGCCATGCAGTTCTTGCTCTTTATTAAACAAGTCCACCAGCAGCCTGATACTTGGCTATTAATTGTGGTCCCTGAAGATGGCGAATGTAAGCTTGAAATATTACCAATCCAATTTTTAGGCAGAAAAAAGCATAACTATCCTGTTCATCCTACAAATTCTTTCTTCCCATACCTCATGCCAAATGTGGATAGCCATCACTGTTTTGTTATCAAGCCTGGCTTTCCCCATGACTCGGTTCTACAACACAGTTACCAAGTATCCATCCTGGGAACCTATGGTATATCAAATAGTGTAGTGATGGTGAACATTTAGTTGAATGTCAAAAAAAAAACAACTATACTTTCTAAACTTCATTAAAAATGTCCATTATGTAAATTGAGCTGCTGTGAAACGACGTCTGCAGTACTAGAATGCTGCAGGATTCAGAGGTTTTGCCATGGAATTTAGGTCTGGTGTACTGTGGAGAACAGGTGAGGAGACTATAACTATATGAACTTAAAGGTGGTATATCAAGCCATGTCTTTGCCTACTTTTAACTAGGAACCTTCTTCCTACTGAAACTACTTTGTGTGAAATTAAGTGACTTGTGCTGTGGTACTGCAATGAGAATTTGGGGTTACTCAGACTATTAGCGGGGGGAGAGTGGGGGGATTCCCTCCTACAAGTATGCCAAAGATTTTTTTTTCTGGCATGTTTTTTGTGGCATGTGTTATCTGAACTCTTTTTAAAAAAAAAAAAAAGACGTGTGAAAATGATCAACTAACAAAGGCCATCTTAAATGGTCTGGCTTGCTTATATTGGAGCTTTGTGCGCACAACCTCATGTTGAGAAATGAAGTGGGATATTTCAACCTAAAACTAAACCCCAAGTGTCCTACTGTTTTTTATGGAAGATATTCAAGGCAGACTGCTAATGCCCCCTCACTCCCCCAGTCATTCCTGAATATTTGGATCTAAAATTAAATTCTAAATCCCACAGACCAAGGCACCCCTTTGAAAACTTATTTTTCACTCATTTTTGAGTACAGGAAAACTTCTTTGCAGCAAGAATTGCTCGTATAAAGTTTTTAACATGGGCTTCTATTTGAAATACAAATCTCTCATGCGATTTCATATTTCCACACTTAACAGTGTTGAATGGCACCTTGTGTTGGGCTTGAAAGGTTCTCTAGGCACCTATATGGACTGGTCTAAGGAACATTTGTTTTAAAACAAAAGGCTATGCATACATATGTAACATTCTCATACTTCTACTGCCTTATTTGTGTCTACCGATAGCTGGATTTACAATGTATGCATGCCTTGAATTCTGGAAATGAAGTGACCCACTACTACTGCTACTAGAGATTGGATGTTATCTTTTGAAGTGTAGGTAAAAAAAAACTTGCTGGGAAAAACTACAGCTGTAAATATCTTAAAGTTTGTAGGCAGACATTCAGGCTCCATAGTTTTGTAAGTGGTGGCAAATTAATTTTGAGGAAATAAAATGTTTTGAAGATGTTCCCTTTCACACATTTACGAGCTTTCCTTCAAATTCTCAAGTCTATAGATCATTTATCAAGATCACATGCCTTAAGTCTGGGGGGTTTGACAGCTTGCCTGCAGGCCAGATTTAGCCACCAGTGCTGTCTTCCAGGGCTGCCTATGGGTCTGGTAATATGGCTGTGTGGGAGTAGCAGCACCATTTCCCCACTGCTAAATTTTTGGACCCTTGGGGAGGTCAAGGATCCTGGGTGCTAGATCGGGTGCCTTATCCCAGCATGAGTTTGCTTGGGGTAGCCCAAACTGTTAGGGCCCAATCCTGATGTGCAGAGTCAGAAAGGGGTGGAGCCTAGGCCCCAGTTTCCAATCCCAGCAGCACAACAGGCTGCACAGGGCCCTAGCCCGGCATCTAGGGCTTGATCTGGCCACAGGCTGGTTCCATGTCTCTTGTATGGCCTGCAGGTCTGCTGCCTTAAGTAATTTGGAGTACAGGCAACCCCTTATTAATGCAGTCTCACTTAGAGCTACTTCGGTGTAGTGTTCATGTAAAATTAATACCTGATTTCACTTAGCACTGAGCCAGTTTTATTATAGTGCTCAGTGAACCAGCAGCAACAGCAAAAACTGGTGAGTGGCAGCAAGTGGGTGGGTGGGAATGAGTGCAGAGCCTGTACTGGTGCCGCAGGGCCGGGGCCGGCAGGGGCCCAGAGTGGGGCAGCAGGAGCGGTGGCCGAGACTGGTGCACAGTGCTGGAGTGGCTGGTGGACAAGGGTGGGGAGAAGCAACAGTGGTGAGGAGCAGAGGGTGGGGATGGACAGGCATGATAGCGGGTCCTCTGTCAGTGTTTGGGGCCAGGGCCAGCGGGGACCCACAGTGGAGCGGCAGCAGCACGGGGCTGGCACGTGGGGCTGGAGAGGCTGGCAGGCAGGCAGAGGGGTTGGAAGAGGCGGGGGTGGTGGGAAGCTGCAGCAAGAAGTGCCCGGTAACTTAATTATCTCTACATTAATTCCTATGGGGAAATGGGTTTCGCTTAGCGTGGTTCTGCTTAACGCTTGGTTTTTCCTGAACCAATTAAGAGTGTTAAGCGGCGGTTGCTTGTAGTAGTAGGGTGGTTGTGGGGAAGGGAGGGAGACATTACATCTCCTTTAATGCACAAAGTCAATCTTCAGCGTGACTTTGAAACAAAGAAGAATCTAGTACTGGAGAAATGGTAAGATTTCGGTACTGTGGATACTGAACATTAGGCCAGTGCAAGTAGGCAGCTATTTGATCCAGCTTCAGATCTAGCTGCTTCGGATGCCAGCAATCTGATCTGGAGTTCTGGACTGGGTTTCTGCTTCAATCTGGCTAAAGCAACTTTGAAGCTGCCTCAGAGATCTGGCCATAGGGTATAATGGGGAATCAATGAAATAGCTATAACTTTGTTTTCTGTCTGATTTGGATGGAACTTGCAGGGATGGTAGCCTCTGCTGAGAGCATGAAGCCTACCTAGTTTCAAGAAGATTGGTGCAGGGGTTTGGGGGGAACTGCACCCCAAATTTTTTTTAAAGCAAAGCTTGTTATGCGTATGTGTTACACCACAGGGGGGTGAAAGCTGCAGGGGTAGTAGCCCCTTCTCAGGCCACGAAGCCTGCCAAGTTTCAAGGAGATTGGTGCAGGGGTTTGGGGGGAAGTGCACCTCAAACTGCGAACAAGCAAAACTCATGACATGGGTGACACTGTGTTAAGCTACAGGGATGGTAACACCTGCTGTGATCACGAAGCCTGCCAGCTGTTGAGGAGATAGGGCCCCAGAACCCCTGTACCTACACCCCTAGCTGCTGACAGGCAAAACTCATGACATGGGTGCTTGTGCAATTGACTGTCTCTGTCTCGGGGCTGGGTGGGGAGGGGAGACACTACTGCAGGCCTGGCTGCTAAGGTACTGTTACCAGTCATGATTCACTCAAGAGACCAGCTC